GTGTTGCAGAGGGAGTAGATTCTGTTGTTCGAGAAGCTCGTCTGCGCACAGCTGCTCTGGGATGACGAAGGGGCGACGGAGTGGAGCACGAGCAGAGATAAGAGCGCGAGGAGATTTTGGTCACGGCGCTTCATTTTGTTTGCTGGTTGAGTCTGTTCGCGGTGTTGGATACGAGATGGTTTGTAAATAGCTGCTCTCTTCTTTTTTTTTTCTTCTTTTTTTAATTTTTGGTTGTGACTCTTCGATCAGAACGAGTGCTTGGGTTTGCTTTGGATGGGTTTTTATAGAGGGAAGAAGATGCTTGTGTTTCTATAAAAGACGGATGATTGGTGATTCATGACCGAGGGTAGGAGGGGATTGGGAGGGAGTAGCTGAAACCGACATGAGGAAAGTTCTTGGTATCTTTATTATTGGTATTTCAAGAAAATATTTAAGTTAGGAGAAAGCATAGTTTATTTATTTGTCTGTTCTTTTTTTTTTGTTGTTTGTAACGAGTTCTGTTCAACTTATTTCGGCCTTTAGTCTGACTTTGTGAGCTTTCACTGTAACAAAGGGGTCAAGGCATTAACTCTGATGGAAATATTTAAAAAAAGAGTTATCTTGATTATCTGATGGAAAGGAGATTCACCGCTTAGAAGATTTTGTACACAGATGCTTATAAGGTTTACGTAGAATTCAGATCATCTTCACTGCTAGAAAAAATAATTAATGAAATGACCACTATTTAATCATAATTATCGATTATCTAGTTCGATGATTATGATTTTTTTCTTTATTCCGACTTTTTTTATACTTCTACTTGCCTGGCCTTGAATAACTGTCTTCTCTATTCTTAGCTTTATTTATTTCTTTAGAAAAAGAATATGATTTGGATGGAGATTATTGAGAGAAACATCAAATCTCTCTTCTATTCTATTTCAAAGCTGCTTTCTACTTTAGACTCACCAACCTCCTTTATTTAGTTTGAGCTCGTTGAACAACTCCGGGGCCCACCGACGATTCCACGTTCCTCTACATTTTCAACAACGCATCCACACTTTGATAACGACAATTGCCACTACCAATTTAAATTGCAACTAGGCCCATGATTCTAATTTAAATATGATAACAGTCAACATTAGTGGAACCATGCCAAATGAGTCAAACACAAAAAAACATAAGAAAATTTTAAAAAATACTCAAAATTTTCCGGGAATTGCATGCAGTTTTTAGTGTACCGATGCCAACAGCTACCCA